CGTCTCCCAACTGCACCCAGTTTGGACTCCGGCGGGAAACCCTGATCCAACATGGGCTACCAACCAACCAACGTGGCCACAGTGGCTGCGCATTGAACATGGCTTGAATCTCTCCGCTTCTGATGCACCAACTTCGGACTAACTAACAACAGAGAGTATAAACCAATCAGCAAAATCTTATTCCATCGAACTTATTAATGCTGTCAATGGCAAGATTATGCTAGACTAAGTGCCCATTGATAGGTTACAGGTTTCAATCGTCCCGTTGCGTATTGGAGATAAAGCTCGAGACGCTTAACCGATCGTTGTGCGCCATCTCCAATTGTTAATATTCCCGACTTCAATCCACCAGGCCTTAGGTACGAGGCTTGATTGGTACATAATTTGGGGTTAGATATGGCTAGCTGATGATGAATAACAAGCCACCATTGCCATTCTAGTTTCTGTCGTCTCTCCTGATACCGTCAGTCAGCTACTGGTAGACTCTCGGTGTAACTAGTTCGTTTTTTTAAAATGCGCATGGGCATGTCCGACACATGTAACATGATCCTTTATGGAAAGGAGTACTGGACGATCCATCGAAACTAATATACAGCTCGCACCTTAGCTGCTCTGTGATAACGCGAACATACTGTCGGAAAGGTATATCAGTAATGCGGTACCAGAAAGAACGACTCATGTCTTCAAAATACTCGCAATTGCGTAATATTCTGCTCCCTAAGACCTTTAAGTGTGACGGATGTCCAATCGCCAAAACGCTTGTGATGTCGCTATAGAACCCCAACGACTAGCACCTTAAAGGCGGAAAAGGCACATATGGCGAACCGTCATAAAGAATGGCACCCACACTAGGGAGGCCAACTAAACGCAAAATACCCAAAGAAGAAAGCAAGACGACTGAAATATGTACAAACGACATTGAACCCCCCTCGTAGTCCCTAGGTCTCCAAGCAAAAAGATGACACCCACTCTTCCGCTTCATCAACATGTGAGGCAGCAGAAAATGCAGTTAACGGAAAATTCGGTGTGGCGGCGGTGAAATCTGGAACCGTGTAAACTGCTATAAAATATCATTTTGACTACCCGACTGCAACAATTCCGTTCTTGTACTAGAACCACCCGCTCTACTTCATGCTGTGCGATCCATCTGCAGCGATTGATTCGCCCAACGAAGCCATTAGCACTCCAATCCTCCTTAGCTTTAAAACACGTTAGACTCGTCCAACAT